ATTGGGCACAAAATGTTACCATTCCTTATTCACCCCAGCAAACAGGTGCATTATATTTTTTATCAGGCTATGCAGTTCATTTATTTGGAGTTTGCAAAACTGAGGGAGGAAAAAATCAACAATTAAATTTTTTAATAGGAGAAGATGAACTTCCTCAAGGTAAATCTAAGGGAGCAAATACTACTTTAAATTTAATTTATCAAACTCTGCAAATTTTTGCAAAGGATGGAAAAAAAAATTACATATAACTTGTGATAATTGTTCTGAGCAGAATAAAAATAGCTTATCTTTATGGTTTTGGACTTGGTTAACAATGTTGGGTTGGTATGAAGAGATTACAGTTAACTTTATGATTCCAGGTTTATATGCAATTCTTTTTTTGGTAATATAAAAAAATTATATAGAAATAGTGAAGTTAATCAAATTAATGATATTGAAGGGATTATTAAAAATTCTTCGGAAGGAAATGAATCTATACAATATAAAAATGGCTCAGGATGGAAATGACATAATTTTGGAGAATTATTTGAAAAGAATTTTAAAATTTTGCCAAATACAAAACAATATCATCATTTTAGATTTAACAGTCTGCCTGAAAACAGAAAAGTATTTGTTTCAACAAAGTCTGGTGGTTAAAGAACAATAGCTTTAATCACAATGATCTTATTAGTGTTATTCCAATTAATATAGACTTGGAAAGAAAATTAAAAAAATTAGAAAATTTGTAGTTGTTCACTATAGGGATGTTCATTTTTCAAATCCTAGTTCAAATGTAATGCAAATTGATTAAATCTTTGAATTTTATATAAAGTAGATATAAATAAATATAAACTGTTTTTAATTATACAAAATACAGTAGTTTAAATAAAACAAATAAAACAGTTTTATCCTTATTTTTATCTTTGAAAGAAAGATTTTGGGGTCAATATTCAATAAAACTTTATGAATTAATTACACACTTTTTTGCCAATTGAATGTCAATAAAAATTATGACAAATCATAATTCTTATTTCAAAGAATATAGTGGTATCAAAAACTCATTTTGGGGGTTTTGAGCTCGAACTATCTTTTTGTTAGCATGAACCCATATAATATGTAGTATTAGTATTTTATGCCATCGAAAAATGTTTAATTATGATAGCTATTACTAATATTTCTTTTTATTATTACTACAACTATTACAACTGTTACTAATATTTCTTCTTTTATTATACATTTCATAAACCAAACGCGTTCAAATTGTTTTTAGTGCCTGAGTTTGAAACACACATAGGCAGTTCAATATTGGTACACAGAGTGAGTGTATTAACTTGATATTTTTTTTTGCTAATAGACAATGATATTATTAATAAAATAAGAATACGCTTTAGTGCCTGAGTTTGAAATACACGTAAACATGTCAATATTGATATGTAGAGTTGTGTTAGCTTGATGTTTTTTCGTTTTTTGACTTTGAAGTTAACTACACGTAATAATAAATACATAATAAAATAAAAACGCGCCTCAATGTTTTAGGCATATTTTTATAATATTATTAATAAATATTTTTGCGAAAAGTATGGTGCAAGTCACCTAGTCCCGCAACTTGCTGCGCCTCGTGGCCAATTTTGGGAAAATCACCAAAACTCAGAAT